TTTCTTAAATAAAATGCAGACTCGTTTCACACAGATCATCTCTTTTGATATTCAAAAGAAGGTTCTATGACAGGCTGGGGACCAAGCCAAAGCTCCAGAAAGTACAGTCACTTGGCTTGGGTCACCCACTTTATAGATGGCAAGACCAAAATCATAACCTCGTTCTGTTTCTTTTTTTTTAATTCAAATCCTAGATTCTTCCCTTCACAATCTGGAAACTGCTTCTATAATAAGCCTGAATAAGCAATAAGACAATTACAGGCAGATCCTGGTCAGAAATATGCTGTTTTATCCTCCATGGTCTTCGGGGTACAAGTGAAGTTAACTCCCCCTCCCCACCAAAAAAGAGCCTGCTGCTTGATATGCAAAGTGAGGGAAATCGCCCAGCTTCTTCCTGCCAACAGGGCTGTCGAGTGAGAGAGTAAGTAGATCATCCTGGCAAGCAAACATTAAATTTTTACAAGCTGGCCCACCTTCCTGCCCAGGAGGTAAACACTTAAGCTACTAAATAAATATTTTCTTTCTCTGCTCATTGATAGCTCAGTTTCCTTGAAAAGCAGCTATGTTTCCCAGTTTATTTGCAACTGGGATTGAAGTCACAGGCATTCCTTCAATTTTTCTTTAAACGTCTTTCCATCTAGGTGACAAAGACACATATTGTGCTATTTTCTATTAGATAAGTCTTCGTTCGCATATATTTTGTATTTATTTTCTCATCTGCCTTTTTCTTCACTGTGGAGCTTGCATAATGAGATGACCAAAAATATATGTACAAGGAAAACAAAAACAATACCACCCCGACCACAACATGCAAAAATTCCATTTTGAATGTATTTTCTGTTAGTCTTTCACTCCTGTATTTAGACCATGTATATGTGTATCTGTATGCACGTGTATGTGTTTATATAGTGGAATGATATTATGCATATGTTTTTGAATTCTCTTGTCACTTACTTTTAAAAATAAACCAAGAACACGGTTTACTGTAAGAGGATGTTCATTAATTTAATCTTATTGTTTTGAAGTGTTATTCGAATTTTTACGATATTAAGTAATATTTTGTAAAAGCCTTTCTGTAGTTAGGATTATCCTTTTCAGACAGAGCCCCTAACATAATCACATTGGGTCACAGTCTCAGGCATAACATTATGGCATTTCTTTCCAAAAGGTCAATAGCAATTTTCAGAGTGCCCATATCACTCTTGAACTGTCTTTCAAGATATAGTGTGCCTACTGTCACCCAGCACACCGCAAAAGTAAAATTGGTTTCATGTAACAAAGCAAGCCTTAAATAAAAATTTGCTGAAAATCTTGTCTGGAAAATAAATCTAATTCCTGTAATTCCTAGCGAAAGCCAAAAGAAGCATCCTGTACCACTATTAATATATTATTATTAACATTAGGAAGGTACTTCATTTATTGAAGTATTTTTATAACCACGTGTTTGTTAATCTCCCTAACTGCTTTGGAAGCAATGAAGCTATTTATAGCTGGACTTTCTGAGCTGAAAATTTTTCAAAAGTCCTATTGTCTTGCTATCTCAACTCATTATCACCATCATATCAGTTCACAGAATCCCTCTCATTTGTAGAGTTTCACAGATGGGAGGGACATAAGTGGTTATTTGGTCTCAAAAGATCAAGGAGTCACTGACGTGGGGTGCAGAATTTTCAGGACACATACTAAGCATCTGCTTTCTTTTCAAACCCCCATGCCTCCATGAAAGTGTGGCATGTCATTGGCAGCTGATAATAAAGCTACTGCTATTTTTAAATTTAACATCTTTGTGCGGCACAGTTACTGTAGGAGTAAAAGTTTATACTCAACAGGATTTTTACAATTTCAACAACTACTGGAATTTTTTGTTTTGTAGCTAAAGCAACAGCAATAATATTTACACCCAACATCACCACCAGAAGTCTTTATGACCTTAAAATTTGCCATAATTGAGAAATAGCATAATTGACTATCTATAATCATGCAAATGCTGTTCTCTAATACGTGGGCTTTTGTTGCAGTTGGGGAGGAACCTGCGTTCTTTAGGAGAGATGAAGAATAAATACATAAAAGACTGAGACCCGCTCATCTAATTCAATGCTTAGCTGACGAAATGCCTGGGTTTCAAGTGGCAGATGAAGGCTGCAGATCCACGAGGAGTATCAGAAATGGCCCAGGAGCCACGGTGTTGTGGAGAGGGCACCTCCCTCAAGTCGGAAGACATGGGGCGGAGCCCACATGGTGGGTCTTTATTTGGCACCCTCATTTCCTCCTGAGATGTGTGGAAATCACAAGCCAACTGGAGGAGCTGAGGTCCACGAGGAGGAACCGAGAGCTCCGTCCCCGAGAGTCTTATGAATAGTGGTTGCTCGCTTCTCCCAATCCCTTTCCCCACTCCCAAAAAAAGGAGTGAATCTGAGGTTTTGCAAACCCGCTAGCTAACGGCAGGCACATGAGGGGTCCAGCAAAAGAACCGCCCACGTGAGTTCAGTACAAACAGCCAAGTTGATAAATGTTGTTTTCAATCACGTAAGTTTCAAGGGGTGAATTAACTGGTGTGCAGAAAAAGCTAACTGATATAAGGACTAACTAAAGTCTAAATAATTAAAATGACCCACCGAAAAATCACTCAGTGATAGCAATATAATGACCATGAATGTGACACTGAACTAGGTCCGAGCTAGCTATATTAGTTAACTGGTTGAATAATTATATCTTTAGATTATTTTTAATGAAGCCCCCCGGATTCATTTGTTAAATAAGTAAACATTTATTGAGTATATGATACATGTTAAATATTAAGATACTGGGGACTACAGAAAAATAAGGCATGGTTTCTGCCCTCAGAAGTTCCACATTCTACTACAGAGAATATGAATAGATAAATGAAATACAATGTAAGAAATATAATGATAGAAAGATGCACAGGGTATTATGGGCTGGCAGAAGGGAAGCCCCAACCCAGACTGACAGGTACAGGTAGGCTTCCCATTAGAAATAATGCCTATGCAAAGTCTTAAAGGATGAAGGGAGTTTGCCGGATTGGGAAAGGGAAGGGGAAAAAAGAAGGAGAAGTGGGCTGGGCAGATAGAGCAGCATGAAGACAAGGAACAGGCGGGGCACACCCTGGAGAGGGTAGGGGGCTACACGCAGGTCGGAGCACGAAGTATCGGCAAGGGGAGGAGAGAGAAAACACTGCTGAAAAGGACATTAGATCCCAGATGGTAACGAGAGTCAATTCTCTCCCCTCGACAAGGAGAAGACAATGAAAGATTTTAAGAAATCAGATTTGCCTGTCTGCAATATCATTCTGGCATTCGAGAGGATGGACTTAGGGAGGCGGGAAGGACAGGTACAGCGGGGAGACTATGATGTCAGTCACAGTGGGGATGAAGAGGAAAGGGTGGGACCAAAAAATATGTTCCAGAAAGAACCTTGAGGCATTGATGGCAGACGGGCTGGTCAGGGGACTGAACCAAAGATGAACCCATATTTCTTCCTGAGTTGGCAGGTCCTGGGTGTCCACCATTTCTCCCACCTTTGTTGACACCATTGACAGTTATACTCAAGTATGAAACTTTACACTGATCCCTGTTCAGTTGAACTCAGAGTTTTACATCACTGTTCCTCCTGCCGAGAAATTTCTGCATCTTGACGTGGTCATCTGATACATTTCCATACCACTGGCTATGGCTGTGGGTAAGTTTCATCCACCAAACTCTTGGTATAAGAAATTTTGAACACAGCCAAAGGATACTGCCTGGAACTGGAGGTTTAAGTCTGGATGTACCCTAACAATGCCAAAATATCTATCAAAATAGTGAGGGCACAGAGGGAAAGTCCCACGAAAAAGTAGAAGCAAACGCCCAGAATGTAATAGGGGAAAATGATAATTCAGAATAGGTAGTATCACCTTCAAGTGGAAGAGCAATCTATTCTTTGTACGACTGGTTCCATGGGGATCTACTACAGGCTGGAAAAGTTCAGTTTCCTATAAAGCGGGACTTTCTAATGGTCAAAAACAACAGAGGTGGGACAGGCTACCCTGGAATACTGTAAGCACCCCGGAGAAGCTGGCTACGGCTGCCTAACAAAAGAACACAGACTGGATATAAAATAACACGGACTAAGCGGCTTAAACAACAGAAATCTATTTTTCACAATTCTGGAGGCTGGAAGTCTAAGATCAAGGTGTTAGCAGAGTTGGTTTCTTTTGAGGCCTCTTCTCTTGGCTTGTGGACGGCCGTCTGCTCCCTGTGTCTTCACACGGTCTTCCCTCACGGCTGCCTAACAAAAGAACACAGACTGGATATAAAATAACACGGACTAAGCGGCTTAAACAACAGAAATCTATTTTTCACAATTCTGGAGGCTGGAAGTCTAAGATCAAGGTGTCAGCAGAGTTGGTTTCTTTTGAGGCCTCTTCTCCTGGCTTGTGGACGGCCGTCTTCTCCCTGTGTCTTCACACGGTCTTCCCTTTGTGAGAGTCTATGTCCTAATCTCTCCTTATATGGACACCAGTCATACAGGAACAGGGCCCACACAACTGACCTCCTTTTAATTGAAGTACCTCTTTAAAGACCCTATCTAAAAATACAATCACATTCTGAGGTACTGAGAGTTAGGATTCCAACAAGTAAAGTTTACGAGAGACATAATTCGGTCCAGCACCTAACCCGTCAACAGGGATGTGTAGAGACAGAGAGGTCTCGTGCCCATCAGGCAAGGGAAGCCGAGGAAGAAACTGAAGCATCAAATTTGGGGTGTCTTTGAAGGTCCCTTCAGATCTAAAAGCTGCAATTCTAAACATTGCAAGACAGCACCTAATCACTGATACTAAACATTAACACAATAATCTCCCCAAGGTTTCAACAAAAACGACATTTCCGTGGCAGCTTAAATGATTGATGAGAATGGTGCTCTTGTTTAACCCTTCCCCATGGAAACACACAAGCAGGCAGTCACATGCGCAAGGCAGCAGAGTTACAATAGTCGGTGCTTACCTGTGAAACAGGACAGACTTGACCAAGGTGACAACATCCCGGCTGGCATTATATCCGGCACAGACAATAGCAACGTGGATTGTCTGGGGAAAAAAAAACAAAAACAGGGTGAGCAGTTAGACAGATGGGACAGGGCCTTCTCGGTGCTTTCAACAACACAGAAAAGAAAAACCGCCCTTATTTCTTGTTGGGATCATTAGAAAACAAAGGGCATGAGTTACGGCTATGGAAAATAACTTGAGACAGTTTTATTTAGGCCTTTTTAATCGGTTTATGGAGCTATCATCATTTGGAAACCATTAAGGCTCTTTTCAATTACATTTGAAGACAAGAGAAATGGAGATTGGCCGAAATAGGCAAACAGCAAGTCCCCTGCCCCCGAGCTGGGAGACAATGACAGCTGTTAACAAGAGAGAAGGAAGAGATATGCCCTGGAAAGACCAGACTGGCAATCAGGCCTCTCAGATGGAGAAGGGATGCCTCTGAGAGATGCGAAATGTTCTCACGAGATAATCTCAGCTTAGGGTCGACCTGACAGCATAGAGAAGGGACCAATAAACGCCAACGTAATGCAGCTGGGATATCATTTAAAGGATTGAAGCCTGGCAGACTCGAAAGGAACCTGATGGGTCATCTTATCTCAGTGGTCAAGAGCATGGGCCCCAGACATGAATGGATGAATCCTGGCTCCGTCCTTCAACTCAGGGTGACTTTGGGAAAGTGGCAGTGTCAAGCGACTTGCTGTAACATAAAGGTCCTGACACATATCCTGCAGGATGTCAGGGAGTACGTGAGGGGACAATTCCAAGAGCAGAATAAGGTGCTCGCTGAATGGCATCCCAATCACAGCACAAATGCCCTTGAGAACTGAGTTTCCCAAACAGGGTGTACTGGCACCTCGGTGCGCTGCGAATGAGCTACAGGTGACAAAGGTACTCATCCTCTCTCGTTCTCAAGGCTACCAGGCAGGGCTGGCCACCCTCTGCTGCCGGCGACTTTTCCTATCTACCTCGCAGAGGCACACGCACAGGCACCATAGTGTGGGCCACGCCTTGACGAAGGTTAGAAAGTATCGCTCTGGGGCATCTCGTACAGGAAGTCATCCAGCCTCTTTCAAAACAGCTCTAGGAATAGAGAGTTCTCAGGGTTGTCCTTTTTACTAAAGCACAGCTTTCCTTGCATCAAAACCAGCCTCCTGACCCTGCCCCCAGCCTTGTTCTGTCCCGGGAGTACTACGGAACAAGCACGTTCCCTCCGATTCTGAACAGTTAAATTAAAGGGAGGTTCCTAATGGGGGCCTCATCATTTGCAGAATTACAGCCCTTCCTTCTCCAGCATGGCTCCCAGATTCCCTGTAACTCTAATCAGCCACTCCTGCTGCATTCTGATATCCCTGTCACTCCCACACAGGCTTTCAGGACAATGACCTCCGGTTCTCAGGCCTCCTTCTCCACCCCACCTGTGACATCACCAAGGGACGTCTAACCATTCAAGGGATGAAGCATCCAGCAGCCTCGAAGGCACTTCCATGACTCGTTCCAGTCCAAGAGCCTTGACTCCTCCTTGACCATTCACTCTGGGGGCCCAAAGCTGAACTTTAGCTTTGCCTGGAGTCTCATGTTCTCAGAAATCCCAAAATCATGGTGGGCTCATCGTGCCTGCAGGATTCTCAGAGCCTCACACCCACTACACCCACCCATCCTCATCCTTATGGAAGACCCCCAATTCGCTCTATCAGGCCTACCATTGCAGCTGCTCACCTGAATGATCATCTCGCTCTACTCTTGGCTCCCTTACATGTTCACCCCCACACTCATCATGCAACACCCCCACCCCTGGATCACGGCCACAGGGTCCCTCTTGTACTTGGGGATCAAGAAGGAAGGGAGAGGAAAGACAGAAACAATAGGCATACTAAGAAGTAATATTTCTTGAGCAAATCACTCCATTCTAAGTGCTTACCACTTTACACAGATTATCAGATCTCAAGGTTGATGGGACAGGTACAGTGTATTGTTTCAGTATTATAGATCAGGAAATGTAGGCTCAGAGAGGTGAATTTCAGATTCTGAACAGAGGTTCTGAAGCCTGACAGTACATCAGAGACACCCAAAAGATTTTTAAAATATCTCCTGTGCCCCAGCTCCACCTCAGACCAATGAACTCATCATCTCTGATACCCAAGATCTTAAAATACACTGCTGGGGGCAGTTGTTCTCAACAGGGGGTAGTTCGCTACCACATGCCCTGAAATATTTTGACAATGTCTGGAGTCATTTCTTGGCTACTGGCATCTAGTGGGTAGAGGGTGGGGATGCTGCTCAACACCCTACAATGCACAGGGCAGACCCCGCAATAAAGAATTATCCTGCCCGGGAGGTCCAGGTGCTGCTGTCAAAAATCCTCTTTTTAGGAAGAAGGAAAAGGGTTGGAAGAAGCTCGGAGCCCACAGGGAACCCATTCTACCTTTCCTCAGTCTAATTTATGCATGTCTTCATTTCTCCACCTGAAAAATGAAGACACCTTCCCTTGTCTCTGGATAATGTCTCCAAAAGACTCAGGATGAAAGACTGTAATGTGATGCAACTGTCACCGTTTAAATCACGAAGAACGGGAAATGAATGGGAAAAACGCCTGCACACGAGAGGCATAACCAGGAAGAGGAAGAGAACGGGTAAAAGCATGCTGAATCAGAAATCACAAACATTTGGAATCACAAACATTTAGACACAAGGCCTCCGAAATATCAAACTTTGTCTTGGCTTCAGGGTTCAGGGACTTTTAAAAATGGGCTCATTAAATGTAGGCACAGGCACACGCATTCTCAAACATTTTACATAATTTTCCAATCTCTTTCGTTTCATCCAATACACCTGCCACCATGAATAAATTCATCATGCGGAGCCGTGGCAGCAGGGAGAGCGACCAGGAGAGCAGAAAATCGGTGTCACGAATGTGCTCTTTGAAGAGTTGAGGGGGAACCGAAATTCTGTGGGTGCAGGAGTGAAGGACAGGAGTGGGGCAGGGGCTGGGGGTAGAAGCGGGGAGAGCAGGGGACAAGGATGAATGGTTTCTGAAGAGCAGAAGTGGTCTCACCACGGGAACTTTCCATTTTGAAGCTATAAAGTCCAGGTTTTTAAGTTTCTCAGTGTGGTGGCGTGAAGATGGCCACAGCTACTCCCAGCAAAGGAAGGATCTGAGTATCAGATTCCGTGACCACTGGCTCACCCATCAAGCCCTCCTCCCTGCACCTTGGAGATGTCACGCTTGCCTTTATTGACCACGAAGCCTGGATGAATGAGAGGATGTTCTCATTTGCTCCGCTAGACTCCCCCCTCCACCCCTCTCTAACTTGCTCTGTGCTGGAGAGGCTGGTCCTTATAGGCTGAATCACTAAGCTCCTATTACTTCTGGTTTCTCGTTGAGTTTGGTCAACAGGAGGCCCCAGCAAACACCCCGCGGATGGGAGGAAGGAGAGGTCAGATTCCCTGGCTCCTGTCAGGCGCTCTCTCCTACAGTCAGTACTTGCTGGGTTCCGTCAGGTCCCCCAACTCCCACCCCTCCAGCCGGGGGCCACAACGACTTCCTCTGGGAGCTTCGCACCCTCTTCATCTCCCCTCTCCCGGCTCCTGCCTTTGACCCTGCATTAGACACTTCCCACCTCTTCTGAATGTGCCATCTGTTTCCTGCTAGGACCTGACCAATTCTGGTGACCTTTCCTCAGCATCCCATTTGTCCTGGAGGCTGAAAGGGAAGTCTGAAAGACTCTGAAGAATTCACAGATACAGTGCTTATCCCTAAAGTGAGACGAGGCAGGGAGGCACCAACACGTCAAACTTGAGAATGTATAAATTCTATTTATATATTTTAAGGAGTGCGAGAAAGTTCTCAGACACATGGACCACAGGGCTTTTCCTAAAGAAGCCCATAAAGCTCCCTGCTCACTCCCTTTAGTCCTGAATATGGGGCTCTGCCTACCTTGCACCTCTGCAAGCTGCACCCGAAGATACCGTGAGGTGAGTGCCATTGCTGTGAACTAGGGTTCATTCCTGACACCACTGGGGTCAGTGAGTGACCTTTACTTTGGGGACCTGCAGGAAGGATTCAGGCATGGCAAGAGTATTTTTTGGAGTCTCCAGTATACCAGAAAAAAATCCTCATATTTGCACGCAGGGAAAAAATATCATCATTATCCCAGAAGAAATTCAGACCAAAGTATAGAATGGCAGGTGAGCTATGGCCTTGGCAGAAGTAATCAACACACCGCCCAGCCCTGCTGCCCCGATAACACTGTCGGCAGTGACCCAGAAGGCCTGATGCTCCCTTTGGGGCATAATTCAGGGAAAGCATTTCATATCATGGAGGAAACCAACCTGAATGCCAGTATCTGATGTGCTATGAAAAGTCTGGCTCATTCCAGATTCTAGAGTGCAGCTGCAGACTCCTGGGCTAGGGGCACAGGGTGAGGAGTGCGGGGGAGGCAGGGCCTCCCAGAGGACAGATGCTGCCATGTGACAGCTGGGAGAAGCCCACAGCTGGGGGCAGAGGCAGAAATGTGTTAGTGGAAAAAAACCAACAAGAGTAAAAGAGACCTGGGTAGGAGTTGCAAATTTAAAGCTAAGTCGTTGTGTGACCTTAGAGTAGTTACGTAAGGTCGCTGAGCCTGACTGGCCCATCTGTAAAATGGAGATAAAAATGGGCACCCCATTGGGCTGCTGTGAGGATCAGACAAATGAGCCCAAGAGGGTGCACCTCGTAAACTGCTTATTCATGTTTACTGAACACACAAACATCCCTCATCTGTATCATGGGGACGTACTATGCTATTGCTTACTCCCAAGGGGTTGTTGAGGACCCAAGGTAAGTGGGTCTCAAACTCGATCATGCACCAGAACCCCCAGATAAAGGGCTTCCTAAAAGAGTGCTGGCCCCTCCCTCAGAGTTTCTGATTCAGCAAGTTTGGTGAGGGGGCTTGAGGATTACCTGCATCCCGGTGATTCTGATGCTACGGGTCCAGGGACCACACTTGGAGAACAGCATAAAGCACTTTCAGGAGGGTCTCTAGTTAAAAACTGAACAGATG